TCTACACTTCCCTTAATTATATAAAATACACGTCTACTTAAGCCTGAAAAGTTGCATCATTCTACACTTCCCTTAATTATATAAAATTTCAAACCCAAATCCCAAATTTTGTATCATTTCTGTTTTTTCCTATCATTTTGGCTCTTAGGAGCCAAATCCTATGAGGCACCATGGGGAATTGTGACCTCAGTCTCCACATCCAGATACCCAACATATTAGTGATCCAATACAGATGTTATCCAGTCTTGGACTTTTTGCTGTAATTGACCTAAGAATCTAGAGTAAATGTTTGCTGCTGAAATTCCAGGTGGAGGTAGAGGTACACCTTTTATTTTATATGCACAGCTCCTAAATGCCATCCACCCAAATAGGAGTGTCAGATAGGGAGGGTGTTTGCTGAAAAAGAAGCCTTTGAGGAAAAAGGCATCCTTTATGATACCAATAGTCATTTGGAAAATTAAATTCACCTCCAAAAATTGACAACCATGTAGAGATTTAAGTCTTAAATAATATATGCAACTTTTGTCTTTCTGTTTCATTTTAAAAATAGGACTTAGTACTGTAAATATTTTCTTTATTTAAAATATGTTATTGTTTTTTGGATATGTTTTCCGTACTCCTTTTTTTGAAGCCAAGTAAAACTCATGGCGTTCAAAATGCCTTTCTCGTAGATTTTCAGCAGGCAATACATTTAATGGACATGTCCATCTGAATTCAAATGTATATACTAGTATGTTTCCTTAAATTTCACTTGCACCTTCTTCCCATCCTTTTTTCACATGTTCTTAGACTTGGAAGGGATGGAAATCTGTGTTTTTTTCCATTTAATACATCTGGGTACTATGTTTTTTGTTGTTTAGTCATTAAGTCGTGTTTGAATATGTTTTCCATACTCCTTTTTTTGAAGCCAAGTAAAGCCCATGGCGTTCAAAATGTCTTTCTCGTAGATTTTCAGCAGGCAATACATTTAATGGACATGTCCATCTGAATTCAAATGTATATACTAGTATATTAAAAACTTTTACTTAGTCCTTCCATCTCATGTTCGGTCCTCCTCTTTTCTTACTGCTTTCTGCTTTTCTTAACACCAGCCTGTTTTCCCATGAGTTGTATCTTCTCATGATATGTCCAAGTATAGTAGCTTCGGTTTAACCATTTAATCATCTATTATTTATTTGAATAATTGTGTCCTGTGAAGTTACTTCTGACATATGGCTACCCTTTTCAGGGTTTCCCAGATAGTGGGTACTCAGAAGTGGTTTACCATTCCCTTCTTCTGGTGGCATCCTGAGACTGTGCAACTTGCTCAGGGCCACACAGTCTGGCTCTTCTGAAATGCATAGTGGGGAATTGAACTCCCAAACTCTAGCTCTGTAGTCAGATACTTAACTCACTCAGCTATAGTATTTATTAGAGATATGAAAATCCCTCTGGTTTGATTTCATTGTGTTTCCTTAAATTTCACTTGCACCTTCTTCCCACCCTTTTTTCACATGTTCTTAGACTTGGAAGGCATGGAAATCTGTGTTTTTTTCCATTTAATACACCTGGGTACTATGTTTTTTGTTGTTTAGTCATTAAGTCGTGTCCAGCTCTTCATGACCCCATGTACCAGAGCACGCCAGGCCCTCCTGTCTTCCACTGCCTCCCGGAGTTGGGTCAAATTCATTTTGGTAGCTTCGATGACACTGTCCAACCATCTTGTTCTCTGTCGTCCCCTTCTCATTTTGCCTTCACACTTTCCCAGCATCAGGGACTATGTACCCATTGACTAAAGTGTGCTCATTCATATTTCTGTGCATTTTAGCCACTCATTGTTTTGCTGGTATTTTATTTTACATGAACTCCCCGTGAGACTCCTTTCAGAATGTGAAATTCTTGAAATGATGTGTGTTTCTTCTCACAATGACACTTGGGAAAAATAAAAACACTACTTTAGTCATATATTGCCTAGATTGTCTTTCAAACCTAATATTTATCCACATACTCAGTTATGGTACCCTTTTGTGGACCTATCTCCAAATAAATTCCTGCTGCTTAGTGGACTTTTTACTTTGCATAATTAATACAATACTACTAGTATTTCAGACCCTGTTGCTGGTGTGGTCTACTGGATAAAAAAATGACAACCCCTCACCAGGGAATGTTGCCAATTTTTATTTCTTTATTTTGCTTTCAACATAGCCTCTCTTTCTTGCTAAATTGGTATATGTAGTGTTGGTATCATGGGGATAAACTGATGGATAAAAACCACTTACCTCCCAACTGTCTTTTTTGGGCCCATCAGGTCGGATTTTCTCTGCTGGTATATATGTGTTTATAGTGTTCTCAGCTTGAACAAGTGTTAAAATAGATTTAAACTTTTGAAGAACCAACAGTCATCTATACCCATGTGAGTGTTCAAATTTGCCAGAGAACAAGTTGCTATGCCGAGTGGCTGGAGTTTGTAAGATTGTGTAAAAAGTACATGTGATGAGTGAACAACATAAGATTAATATCCTTTAACAGTTTAGGAACTCAATACTTGTTGGGAAGTCTCTCTCAGAAATCAGCTATTTGTTTCACCCGTTCCTCTCAATCCATGTTGCTAAAATGCCCACATTGAGGGAAACTAAAATGGTGACAACAAGGAATTGGGCCTTCTCTGTGGTGGCCCCCAATCTTTCAAATAAGCTACCAGTTGAGGTATGTCAGGCTCCTTCCCTTCTGGTGCTCAGGAAATTAATGAAGATAGAATTATATAAAGTTGCCTTCGATAACTTATCTTACAGATGTTGCTAATATTAACTTTTAATTTCTTGTGCTTCTTTTTTTGTATTAATTTTAGATCTAGTCAAGTGAATGGCCCTATTTATTGTACTGTTATGTGGGTTTCTGAGTTTTAGTTTTCAAATCACCTGGAGTAGTTTTTCCACTAAAGGGGCAGTATATAAATCTAATGAATGAATTAGCCTGCCCGTCCTCTAAGATCAGGCCAGGAGGCCCTTCTGAAGGTGCCATCCCTGAAAGAGGTGAGGGGGATGGCATGTCAAAGTAGGGCCGTCTTGGCTGTTGCCCCCCAACTTTGGAATGCCCTCCCTATAGAGATCCGCCTGGCTCCAACACTCTTGGCTTTTTGGTGCCAGGCAAAGACCTTTCTGTTTAGCCAACATTTTAATTAAACAGTATTCCCTAGCTGGCCACATGAGCAGCAGGACTTATTAATATTAATGTTTTAAGAATTGTTTCAATATATGATATTTTATATTGTCTTTTTAAATGTTTTTAATGTTTTTAAGTTTTAATATTGTTGTATGCCACCCAGAAGCCACTGGTAATGGTGCGGCTAAAAATATTGTAAGGAAATAAATAAAATCACATAAAATGATAGTTACTGATCAGTTTGTTTGTTCTGATTTCTAGGAGTACATTGAAGGTCCATAAAAGGCCTCAAGGGCTTTGGGTGTCCAGAGATGGAATGCATTTTCCCATAGGAGAAGTAAAGCACCTAGTGTCAGCATAGTGTGATGATTAGAGTGTTGGATTAAGACTCAGAAAATCTGAATTCACTCAGCCATGAAACTCTTTGGGAGGACAGGGGCCCGTCATACTCCTGTGTAAAGTGAGAGAGGAACAACCATCCATAACACTTTGACATAATGGAAGAAAAAGCATGGTGTGCATGTATCAAGTAAATCAAATGAGTGAGTGAGTGAGTGACTATTAGGAATGTGGGGAAGGTTTCAGTTACAAAATATTACCTGTTATGGTGTTAATTCTCTACTACCGCTGCAGTACAAAATATGCATTTTTCAAATGGCAGCCTTTTCATTTTCAATGTTCAACTGTAGCTACTGGGGGCATTCCCTATTTTTGTTATCACTTTGATACATCAATATCAAATTACCAGTTGGGGGATCATTTGGGGGCAAGACCTGTTAGCTTTTGTTGGTGCAGGTTGTCAGAACTGTCATTTTCCAGTGTTCATTTCTCCAAGGTGTCTAGAAGTTCAGTCTCTGAAGGAGGATGGATACATCTTATCTATAGCACACTATAAACTATGGATAGAAATGAATGTGCGAAAGCTAGCACGCCTTGCAGCACACAAACTGTGATTTCATATTCTGCAGCCATTGAGATATGTTTGAATTGCAATAGAAGGTTATGAGAGAGTTACGTTTTTGTAGTAAATCATTGGGGTTAATAGTTTTAAAAAGTCATTTTAAATAAAAGAAGCATCAAGTTGAGAGTAAAGAAATGATATCCACATCCACACCTACATCAACATATCTAGACATGACTTCTCTATTATTCACCACAATCCCCCATCACTTCCGATTGCTTCAACCTGGTTTCCATGCCCTGCACCAAATCTCTAAGCAGAGTAAAGCTATATTATAGCAAATTAAATGGTAATATATATATAAGGAAAAGAAGAAGAGAAGGAAAATCAGGGAGGGGGGAAATGTACATCTAAGACTTTCTATGCTTAATTGCTAGACAGATATACAGTATATGGGTCAGTCATGCATATTTTGCTTCCAGTCACTAAAGAGGACCAAGGATTCTTGCAAAACTTTTTCTTCTTTGATATAGATTTCTCCTTATTTTACCTTATTTTTCTTGTGTTCATTAACGGAGTGATCAGACACCATTTATTGCAAATGATTAAGAGAAAGGGCTGTTGTGTGGTGCATTCTCTTACTCAACAAGAATAGAGCAGATTCACCTGTAAGGCATAGCTGGAAATGGGTGTAGTTCAAGCAGTGATTGTAAGTTTTTCGTTTGAGAGCAGGTGTATTTTAAACATTTCCCTGTCTACACTGTTGGAGTAGTTGTCTTCGGAGTTTCAGACCTATGTTTGTTTCTCCATCATACTGGAGGGAATTGTATGGCAAGAATTGGCTTTTATGTAAATATAGATATGAATCTGATAAATCTGCTCATCAGACTTTTTGCAAAGTGCATATTTTATTATATATTATATGTGTAATCTCTTTTTTCCCCTTCATTTTTCCTAGGTTCCAACTATGTGAGTCCTCGTCCAGCTCATGCCAACATGAATGCCAATGCAGCTGCAGGACTTGCACCTGAGCATATCCCTACTCCAGGTGCAGCCCTCTCCTGGCAGGCTGCTATCGATGCTGCCAGACAGGCCAAATTGATGGGTGCTGCTGGCAATGCAACAATATCCACCGCTAGCTCCACGCAGAGGAAACGGCAGCAGTATGGGAAACAGAAAAAACAGGGTACCACCACAGCTACACGGCCTCCCCGTGCATTGCTGTGTTTAACACTGAAAAATCCCATTCGGAGGGCGTGCATCAGTATTGTTGAATGGAAATATCCTTTTTTTATGTAGTGACGTGGAAACCAGTGGGTTGTCAGTATGGATCAAGATTTGATTTCCAAACATGAATAAATATATGTTAAGTGGAATGGAAGCACTAAGTGGAATCGCTTTAAGCTACATGAGTAGCCCATAATTGGTTTCTGTTTAGACCCTTCAAATATAAGGCAGGGCTGCATATGGGAGAATGGGAGTTTCTGTAAACAGATAAGTCAATTAGAAGTGTTTCAACAGAGCAGGAAAAAGGGCTTATACCTTCTATATTGATCCTTCTCTGTCTACCAAGAGGAACTGTAATTTTTTTCTGTTAATCAAAGGTGCCAGATGTTGAAAAGAAATATGATTTCTCCACAATTCAATATTTTGAAATTGGAATGGAAAAATAATTGTTTTTAAAAATCAGTATCTATCAATACACAATACTGTATTATAGTTATAATTTTACATTGATCTGTGTGGCAGGAATCATTGGATGATACAGCTGCATTAGATTATCAGAATGTGGTAAGAATAGTTGCCTGCATCTAGTAGTTGTACTGCTCTAATGGTTAGGTAGCTTTTCCTGATAGTCATTTGAACCCTGCCTTTCCGTAACTTTAGCCTATTATTACACATCCTGCACTCTGCAATGATCAAGAACAAATCCTGACCCTCCTCTGTATGATAATTTTTAAAGTATATGTAAAGTGCTATCCTATCTCCCCCCAGTCTTCTTTTCTTAAGGCCAGACATGCCCAGATCTTTCAGTCCTCCAGCAATTCATGGCTTCTCAGACCATATACTGTAGGAAGCTGTGGATTGGCAGAGGAAATATAGCATTTCAATGCTGTCCTGCTATCAGGTTACATCTTTGGCTGCAGTGCGTTCCCAAAGAAGCTTGGAGGGACAAATAGAAAGATGGGGGAAAACAAAGCACTGAAATCCTAGCAGATGTTCATAAAAGAGAAATTTGCTTTCTAGATGGGGAGGGGCTAAAAATAAAGTTGTCAGTAAAGGTTCATTGATGCCCTCAGGCTTCTCTTTGTCCTTTCTTTCTCTCTCCCCCCACTGTTTTTTATTCATTAGATTTATTTTATTTTTCACCCTTCCCATTACAAGAGCTCAGAATTTTGCCATACAATGATGGATGGCTTAGTTGGGAGGGGGGGCAATGTTCTTATTATTGCCTCAGCAGCCAATGCATCTTTAGGTAGAGTATACAAATGGAAGCCTGATAAATGTATGAGAAGGGTGGTGGCTGAACAGATTGATGTTGGGGATGTACTGATGTGATCTGGAAGAGACAGAGTGGTGCAGTTAAGTCAGTCTCTAAGGAGTTATAGTTCTTTTTGAAAACACACAAGAAAAAAACATTTGCAGTTCTCCCAGTGACTCATCTCAAGCATAAAAATCTTGAGCCAGATCACACATTTTACAGGCACTGTGGATTTGCTAATAAAAATTACTGTCCCTTTCTTACTTTATGTTGGCTATGAATGAGATCTCATCACCATGCTCAGAGGCACTGCACTGGGGCCATCCCAAGATGCCTTTCTTACTTAATGACCACTATGTTGGCTACGAATGAGATCTCATCACCATGCTTAGAGGCACTGCACTGGGGCCATCCCAAGATATTTTACTGCCTAAGAAGTGAGAGGGTACTTCCTATTGGGTCCCTGCTACTGTTCATTTATAGATTAGTCAATATGCCACTAGATTTCTTCCTTTCCAGAATAATTTTTCAAGTTCTGCTGAGGCTAAATACTAGATGCCCCTCTCATTCCATGTACAATAGTCATCTAGACTACCTGTTGAATCTTACTTTGCCACTGGGCTGAGACACATCCCACCTCATCCTAAAGTAACAGGCTAGCTTAAAGAGCACAAGACAGGCCAGTGACAGATGCTGCCTTTCAGCTACCACATCTGCTACCTGAGATAGTCACCTCACACTGACTAATGGTACAGTTGGCCCAGCAATGAACTTCCAAAGTAGTGGCTACATCTTATCATCAAACCATGCCAATAATCTTCTTCAGGGATATCTGGCTGGTCATACTTTTTGAAACAGATTGGTAGACCATATGTCATTGTGAAGTAACCAACACAATTCATTGGACATTCAAACATTATCTTTGTGTGGGGGCATGTTGTGTGTGGAGATGACTTTGTGGAAGTCTGTAGGACACTTACATAGATGCCTTTAAAAAGTCCACAAGTGGGTCACGACAGCAATAGTTCTGTCCAGCCCTTCCTTCCTGGTAGAAGTGTGCAGATTTGTGTTGTTGGAATCTAATTCTGTTTATTGTAATCTGAGGACACAAATCTCAGATTGCATACCTCTACCACATAACACTGGTAGAAAAAGTATGTGAACCCACACTAAGACATATACATAGATGTTTAAGAAGTGTGTTCCAGTATCTTAATACTTCTGAAACCCAGTCAGAGTGAAATCATTTCTCCCCATTTGGTCATTCATTCCCTTACGTCTCAGACTTTCTACTGAAAAGGAACCTACACAACTCCTTTGAAAGTTGTTCCTACAAGAAATTAAAAATTTATCAGCCACTTTAATAAAAAGAACAATTGACTGAACAGAGATTCTGAATTATTCGAGACATTACAATAGCCTGTGCAAGTCAACAAAAAATTGTGAATAGGGCACTAGCTGTCTGAAACAAATGGAGCAAAATGTGCATCTGTAATAATATCCTAATTGCTCTTTCTATAGTTGACAATGATATACTTTCCCATATTTCAATGCAATCATGAACCATCCTATAGAAATTAAAACTTGCATAGCCATTTGCAATCAGGTGCTTATTTTATATTACCTGTTCTCTGAAGCAAACAGAGTTGTAATTGCCTCTATCTTAAACAATAATGTTCTCACTTTTATACATACAAACTGGTATAGGAAACACAGCTACATGAGGATGGCTTCACCTGGAACAGCTTAATATGATGTTTCCTACATGGTTTTATTTCGTTTTAACATGCAAATGTAATACTTTATGTAATAATATATTTGTTTATTTTCAGAATATATTGGGATGGTGAAAATTTCCAGATCTATATAGGGATTTTCTTTGCTTTCTGAAGATCCATAGAGTTGTATTTTCAGAGGTTATAACACTGTTTTCATCAATAAATTAGTCTTACATTGTGCCATGCTGACTCTATAGAAATTTCCATGCTCCCACAAGTGCTGTAAATTGAGTTTGAACATTTGCAATGGCAATTTTGTTGGCATCACTCATTTGTACCATGGAAGAAGATCAAAAGTAAGGGGGAGAAGCAGCCTGATGTGTAACTTCAGTGATCCTTAATAAGAGGAGTATGTAACATGTGATTCACATAACACATCTAGCAACCCAGAACTTTCCCTTCCATTATATGCCACCAGTATGTAGCACTTTTCCGACAAGTAGAACATTCTTAGGGGAAGGACTTTGCCAGTTAGGTGCATCAATGAAGTTCCTGCAAGAGAGGAACTTAAGGCATGGGAACAAGTTGGGAAAAAAAGAGAGGGAGTCTAGTTCTCAGTGCTGTCCATCATCTTATCAAGAGTACCTGAATTGTGCAATAGTAAGAGGAACCGATATTACAGCAAGCATGTATCTTGGAGTCATGACACTTTATGTTGCTATCTTCCCAATCCTGTCAAGACGCAATGTTGACTTCAATATATATATTTTTTCTCTTTGGAAAACTCTGATCACGATACAGCAAGAATTACAAGGTGCAACCAGTTCTGAGCAAATGTATGTATTTAAAAATCAACTTTTATGGTTGAAATATTTTGGGTATTAAACAAAATAGGCTGTCACTTGTTTTAATCAAGCTGATTATGTCCTAAAGAGTAAATCTATACACAGGTGTGTGTGTGCATGCACGCACATGCGCGTGCGCACACACACACTCCATATCCCTTCTAAAATTAGGATGAAAGGTGCATTAAAAAAATAAACCCTGGTATGAAAATGTTAAGATTCTAGTGCTGCTTTGAATGTTTTTTTCATGCATTCCATACATTACTTTTCAAAAGGTGACAAAAGATAGTTGAAAAATGCTAAACCATTGTGTAGAAAGATTTGGGAGAGATTTTCTTAAATGATAGGAATAATAGTTATTTGAAACTAATACAGATGCAGTAATAGCAAGAGGCTGTTTACGATAGGTTTTCAGATAAATAATTGAATGGGATAGGGAAGATAGGGAAATACATTGAAAATGTAATCTAAATAAAGAAAAAACTTAAGCAATTTTGTTTACTTTGGCACACGACTGGCCTACTGTGCCTTTGACATATTAGGAAGAAACTTGGCTAGGAGGATTGAGAAGCACTTGGAAAGGCACATGTTTCTCTTCAAAGGGGGATTATGAATGTTTTCTTTAAACTGAATTCTTTTAAAATCTTTTCTTTCCTTCCAAGACAATGTGTTTCTATGATTTAGGAGAAAAAAACTTTCCTTAACTCCATTCCTCAGACCATTTGAAATTATTATTTTACTGACTATTTTTGCCAATTGTGTGGCCTTAGCTATCTATATCCCCTTTCCAGAAGATGATTCCAATGCTACCAATTCCAATCTGGTAAGTTCATGTTTTTTCTCACTTCTCCATTATTCTGTATTGCTATGTATTCTGTTTGCTGCTACTAATAAGTCTTGTTCAGAGCTCATCAAGGAAATTGTTCAGTGGTCAGGAAAGAGGAGGAAGCCACAACTACAGATTGATTTAAAGATGTTTGGATATCATGTTCTGGGAAATTGTGGTTGTTTATGCTTTAGATTTATTATGATTGCTTCTACATATGGCTTTGTATGTAATATAGATTTATACCAGTTTTGTGCCTCCAGGAGCCCTGGGAACTGTAGTTAGTTGATAAGTTGATGAAATTTTGTTAAAAATCTCATTCCTTCCAAATACAATTCCCAGATTTCTCCCAGAAGACCACATGAAGTCTATATCATAGATATGAACTCTTAGACTCAGTTATTATGTTTTACTTTTTGTTTGTTTGTTTGTTTGTTTGGCATAGATATGACCTCTTAGACTCAGTTATTATGTTTGACTTTTTGTTTGTTTGTTTGTTTGTTTTGCTTTGGTCTTGTGACAAAAGGACTGGGCATGCTGCAAACATGGTTTGAATAATTCTTGTTTTTAATGAAATTTGTGAGTTATTTCATACCTCTTTCGTGAAGGTTTGTTGTTTAATCCATTGGGCCTTCCTTTTAAGTGATGCACAGCTTCAAGACTAATTTCTAGAAGATCCATTCCCAGTACATATTTTGTGTTTATTTGCATGTTCCTTTTTCCTGGAATAATTTCTGTAAATGTAAACTAGAGTGTCAGAATTTCAGTCATATCATTGTACATACGTAACAGAAGAACTTACTAGTTAGACATTTAGAATGTCATCTATACCATTAAGATAGAATATTTCCCCTGTCCTCTCCTGACAGAGGTTTCTCAAACTCAAAACTCTTACTGATCTGAGGAACTGGAACAATTAAAACTTTATTTTGTATTCTTTCCAATATTCAGAATTGACCAGTAGAGTTTTTTTGAGACATTGGAGAGAGAATGCCATTCTTTTACTCCCTCCAAGCTGGGGTGGACTGAAGCCGAGGGAATGGGTTTTGAAGATTTTCCCAAAGGGGTGGATTTGGAAAATAACAATTGCATTTCCAGAACATAGACAGCTGAACTATACCAGTTCTTGAGACTTTGGCCACTGTGATAAAAGAAATTTTCATGAAGCAGTTCTGAGTGAGCAGAAGGAAAAACAAAGGACCAGAATGTGGCTTGAAACTAAATCTTGGATAACAAGCTTAAAGCTGTCACTGTTTTGCTTTGGAAAATGTCTATTGGGGTATGACAATAGGCCTTTTAAAAAGCTTGGAAGGATTTACTGTAAGTTGATACATATGTAGCCAATATGTTTGTGAGCTGGTGCCTATTAATATGAAACTATATTGTTTTTCTAGTAACTTAATACAAGATTTAAAGGCTTTAAGTGAAGCATAGACCGTTTTTGTCAGTGGAGATATCTAAACCTGCTGTCACATTCACACACACATATGCAAAACACATAGAGAGACTGTATCATGAAAATGGGATTTCTTCAGTCATGTCCTAAATAAAACCGACAGTTTAATAACATGGTGATTGATTTTTGTGAATTTGGGTCTACAGGAAACTGATCAAATACACAATTGAGAGAGTGTAGGAAAGGCAGGCAGAGTGTAAGGTGATGTATCAGTTGTATGGCATCTTACAGGCTTAGATAAATAATTATTCCATCCCTGGAAACTAGTATATGTGGCAAGAGTATTTTAAATCTCATTGGGTTATTCATTCAGCTTGTGTACTCACCAAGGTTCTGTGACATTCACCTTCTTGTAAATTAGATTTGCCCTGAGATAGTTATCCTCCATCCACTTGTTATAACAGAGGAAAGCTACAATTACTTTCTGGTAGAGCTCCAGTTAGCTGAGTGTCAAGTGATTAGTTCATCTTTGGAAAACATTGGATGAGATAGTGGGTTGAGACAGCGGAAGCTGCTTCATAAATGGTACATCCTGCAGAGATGGAAATCGGATGCACTCAGAGAGGAAAGCCATTTCATTGGAGAAAATTACCTCGAGCCATTGCTAAATGCAGGAACTCATGCAAGGGGATAAAATATTATATATTCAACCCAGATCTGTAGATGTACACATGCAGGGGAAAGTATTGTGTTGTATCACAAGTGTTTTTTTTAAAAAAAATATTTATTTGCAATGCAGTACAAAGAAGAGTTGGAAAAAATGCTGTCTACAGGTAAGCTGTGCAAAAACAGAAGGAAAATGGTCATCATGTTTTTTGACAGGTAGATGTCTGTACGCACATGTAAAAACACTTGTTAAATTATTACCAGCTGTCGCAACCGGGCAATTAAGTCCCATTTAAACTAGACTTAACTAAGTTACTGCTAAGGCATGTTCTTGTTTTCTATAGGGTGTTTCATATGACTCTAATCATGTTTTCCCAGAAGTCGGGCTGTCATGGTACTGGCTCATAATTAACCTGTTTAGGTTGGCAACTTTAATAGTACCCAACTATTGCTGCACATACATGCACAAATCCTTGTTGGCCAAATGTTGACAGCCATACAACAATAACTTATGATTGTTTGAAAGTGATGATTATTAACATTCCACATTGGATTTTATAAATGTGCCTCCACTAGAAAAAAATGTTTATTAAAATGAATGAATGTCCTTCAATGCACTACTGGTTGAATTTAGAGATAATTCTGCTTTGTTGTATAAATAGGTTTGAAGATGAATCCGATGAAATGTTCTTCATGTCAGTTCTGTGTGTTCCTAAACATGAAGAATATGATTCTATATTAGGGCTGGACATTTTAATTAACTGATCATATCAGTTCATATACTGAAGCTGAGGTTGCAATTGATGAATTTTAGAAGGCTGTAACTTCATGAGAAGGCAAGATTCCATGGAAAAATGCAATTATGTTGGGAATAGTTGAAGACAGCAGGAAAAGAGGAAGACCAAATATGAGACGGATTGACTTTCTGGTATACCACCTTTTTTTGGGGGGGGGGAGAGCTCAACAGGGCTGTTTCAGGACAGGACATTTGGAAATTGTTCATTTATAGTGTCACCATAGATTGGTGGTTTCTCGATAATGCATAACAAAAGCAATAGCTTGAGCTGTGTCTGATGAAAGAGACCATAGGGCTCATATCCAGAACAGGTCCTCATTCAGATAACATGTCAAAAGATAACTTATGAAAATACACATTACCTGTTTAATTTTGTTGCTGAACTTAAGAGATTCAAAATACATGAAGATCTAAAAGTGTCATATACTGAATCAGACCATTGGTCTATCTAGTTATTGTCTATTGAGAATGACAGCAGCTCTGAAAATTGACACAAAGAGGTCTTGAATCTGTAATTTTTTTTCATACAAAGTATATCCTCTAATGCTTAACAAATATAATTCTTATATTAGAACCATTATCATTATACGTATTTTGGCTGGGAATTCTGTGAGATTAAGTCCCCAGAAGTAGCTTTTCCAAGCTCTCCAACATAGCATCACTATATTAACGTTAATAGGCTATAATGTATTCTGTGCAAAGCTTTGTGTGCCTGCAACAAAACAAAATCAACTCTGGTTTTGTTTATTTTGTTTGGGCCCTTTTTAAAGAGAAGGGCCTCTCCAAACAATTTTTTTAAAAGTGCAAACAGCGTACATTACCTGCATAGTGCTATTATTACAGAGAAAAACTTTTTGTCAGCAGCCAAACAGAAAAGGTTGTTGATTGAAAATTTCAGGTTTCCACTTTTCCTTCCAGATAACATTTCCGTGCTGTCATTTTGAATGCATACGGTTGCCAGGTCTCAAGGCACCAGAGGGAGTCTCAGAGATTTCCTGGGATCGTGCAAATAAGGGATACAAATCTCAGAGTGAGCAGGGCTGTAGGGAGAAGGAAGTTCAGTTTTTGTGTGTGAAATGGTTTTAAAGCTTGGCACCCATCTCTGCCTTTTCCCAACTGATGCCAGGACTCACTGGTTCAGCATGGAGACCTTTGTATGATGCCAGTGAAAAGGTACCTGTATTTATGTTACACTCATGCAGGATTTCCACAGCAAAATAGCAAGGAGCAAGTGGAGGGGGGAGAGTCAGTGGGCCCCTGTCCTCACGCCCATGTCATTTGGAGCAAAAAGAAAGCAACAACGCTTCAGTTTGTGAGCCATTTTGATGTAGAAACTCTGACAGCAGTGATAGACGACCTGGAAAACTCTCCCCATGGGCTGGTGGCCAAAGTTCCACAGGCTGTGACACCAGCATACAGGCTGGAAACCCCCTCAGTGTTTCCTCACATGAGATGTGAGCCTAGTAGAAATGGTGATAACAACTGATTAACACTGCATCTTAAGAACAAACAATTTTGAAAGCTGCGTGCTCTTGCATTGTCTTGTTGCTCAACACACCACTTCCCAGACAAAGGTTTCTTGCCTACTTTATTTTCCCATTTTGAAATAGGACTTATAAACTGGCAGACCTTTCCCCCTTAGCATTGATATCCTTAGTCTTCTACTATATGAAGACTGGACATGGATTAGACAATACTATGAAAGACTTGGGAAAGGCTGCAGAAAGTGGAGAAACGGCTATGTTGTCCTAACCCAACTATGTCATCTTGTTATCTTTGGTAGCTAAATACTCTCTATGTGTGTGTGCTGGGGGGGATGTTGACTGGTAAGCGTTTTTTTTAGGAGAAGGAGGGAGAGATAAACTGCAAAACCTGATTTGCCCAGCTGCTCAACGAGAGCCTTCTCTTGGGTGACAGGTCCAGCTTCACATTCACTGCGCATTGTAATTCGGAAAGGGGGGGGAGGGGTTGCCATGGCAACTCCCGCAATCCCTGCTTGGAGAGACATGGAGAACCTTCTTCAAGATGCATATTGTCCAATATGTGATTTGTAATGGCTTTTAAAAATGTGTTAAAGGAAGGAGGGGGAAACTTTCTCTGCCCTTAGAATCTGAACAGATACTTTGCCCTTAGAATCTG